ATGTACTCAGTGTGAACCTGCTTTCATCTGTGAAGAGCACAGGGCGCCAGTGGCGAATTTGCCAATCTTGGTGTTCTCTGGCAAATGCCAAACGCCCTGCACGGTGTTGGGCTGTGAGCACAACCCCCATCTGTGGACGTCGGGCCCTCATACCACCCTCATGGAGTCGGTTTCTGACCGTTTGAGCAGACACATGCACATTTGTGGCCTGCTGGAGGTCATTTTGCAGGGCTCTGGCAGTGCTCCTCCTGCTCCTCCTTGCACAAAGGCGGCGGTAGCGGTCCTGCTGCTGGGTTGTTGCCCTCCTACGGCCTCCTCCACGTCTCCTGATGTACTGGCCTGTCTCCTGGTAGCGCCTCCATGCTCTGGACACTACGCTGACAGACACAGCAAACCTTCTTGCCACAGCTCGCATTGATGTGCCATCCTGGATGAGCTGCACTACCTGAGCCACTTGTGTGGGTTGTAGACTCCGTCTCATGCTACCACTAGAGTGAAAGCACCGCCAGCATTCAAAAGTGACCAAAACATCAGCCAGGAAGCATAGGAACTGAGAAGTGGTCTGTGGTCACCACCTGCAGAACCACTCCTTTATTGGGGGTGTCTTGCTAATTGCCGATAATTTCCACCTGTTGTCTATTCCATTTGCACAACAGCATGTGAAATTGATTGTCAATCACTGTTGCTTCCTAAGGGGACAGTTTGATTTCACAGGAGTATGACTGACTTGGAGTTACATTGTGTTGTTTAAGTGTTCCCTTTATTTTTTTGAGCAGTGTATATCAATCCATTTTAAACCATACACTTGAGTGAGAATGATTACCAATATAAACATTAAACACCACAAATAGTGTGCGAGACTTCGATTAAGAAAAAAAAGAAATTCAGCCTGTTAGGGGCTGCAATGATCAGTTTATTAATTGATTAGTCGGCTAAAATTATTTATCGTCAACCATTTTGATTGAATGACTTTAAACTGTCATTTGTCAAACAAATGTCAAATATTCACTGGTATTAACTTCTCAAATCTGAAGATTTCCTATTTTCTGACATTTTTACCGCCACAATGACCAATAAATGAATCGAAAAACAATCAGCAAAGAATAAATCTGAAATAATGTTTGTGAAAGTAATGGTCATGTATCCATTTATACTTAATTGGTATTCTGGTTTTCTGTCTATGCAGATCGAAGCTACAGGAAAAGGTTTTCCAACAATTAGGCTTTTAAAATCAGCAGAGTGAAATCCAACCAAAAACATCATCATTTCAGCACTACAGTTTTGTTTTTTTTAATTGGGTGAACATGTACAATCAAACAATATATCTACGACAACCACTCTGATGTAACAGTCAGCCTCTAATACCCATTGAATGCTCGTAAAGTGAAGAAGTGCAAAATGACGTCAAAACTCATCCAGCTGACAGCTGCTGGTAATTTCCCCACTCTGAATAGTGCTGCCATCCAGAACAGTTGAGTTTCTGACAGTGACCTTTGGGATAACGTTCCTACTGTGCCCTGGCATTAGACAAATGCCAATAAAAGGTTGAAGACAGATGTAGTGAACAACGGTGTGGATTTGTGCATTTTACATGGAATAAATTTGGAGCTACTCTAAATTCCTTTCTCCTCCCCAAAGAAGAAGGGGAGGGGTCAAAGTTACTTTCTCTAAGTGCTATCCCGACCATAAAACTGGCACCTTTTGATTCCGAAGCTGATAACGCGGGGCCTGACTGTTAAACTGACAAAGAGACACGCACCAGCCATTGGCATCTTCCTGAACAGCCTATCAAAACTGGCCCCCCACACACGTTTCCGTGGCAACTGACCTTATTCTTTCTTTTATTACCACATCAAAGGGATACTCCTTGTCTCACCTAAGTGTGACATTGTCCAGGACAGCTGAACTTTCAATGTAAAAGGACTGCAGTCTCCAAAGACTCAGAGCATTTAATTAAATCTTTAGTTACCTGATTACGTTTGCCTCTATTTGAGTAGTTATGTTAACTGTTGTTGCTATCTGTTGTTGATATTAGTGCTGAGAAGAAGTTACTTGTGCAGCGTTTTTATTTTCAGCAAGACACTCCTTCATCTAATGTAATCCAAGCTTTCCTCATGTAACCTGAGCTCCCCCAAGTGGACGAAATAAGTTCTACATGCCCTCGTCGGAAATGCCGTTAAATGTATAAATATCCTGACCAATAATGTGACAATTGTTTCCTGTTACCAAATGCTTAGAACAGTACAACCGTTTGACCATTGAGGTTCGATTGTGGAAAATGTTTGATTATAATACGTGCAAATAGATTTCTTTTCTTTTAGACATTAAGTTTAGAAAGGCAGTCCCTTGGGAAACCTGAGACACCCCCTGAGGAACCACGCCCCAGACAACAAAAGAGCGACACGCGACCTCGCTTCGCGCTCTTCTCTTCGCTGTTGGCTCTTCCACCCTGCTCGGCCCTATGGATGCTTCGGCACGCGCAGCGTGCCTCGCCAGGCAACGCCCAGACTCGGCCAGCGAAACAAACAGGCCCTTTGTTCGCCTGAAGCTACACACCTGAAGTGCCGCGACATCGATCTGCCTTCAGTTTGTTTTATTTTCTTTATTTCTTTTGTTTGTTAAAGTTATCAGTCCGTTAAGTTACACTGGACTAATTCAGGAACGACCAAGTTCCATTTTAAGCCTTTTTCGTCGAGCCAACTTCACCGAGGTCAGACCAAGCCATGTGGTCTCGCCAGCTACAACGAAGGAAACCTGAAAACAGCCGAATTGCCAGACGGAGGAGGCGTTTTCAATCAGACACGGAGAACCCTGGAGAATCCCTAGCAGAAAGCCAGGATCGGCAGCTAGCGTGGGACCCGTGCAACAGGCCAAAAGCAGGCTGTCGACAAGCAGTAAGACTCAACACACGTTCTGTGATCAGATGTCCATTTAACTCCTAAACTATAGCATTAGTTTACTTTCATTAGCTCTTCTATGCCGTATGAGTCAAATGCTTCCCACAACCGAACCTCCAGGCTCATTATTCAGCAAATGTTTATGTTCCCTGTATCCAACCATCTTTTTATCACCTTAGTTAGAGAATAAATTCACTGTAATATAATCAAGAGCTGTGTGTGTTGCCTATTTATAGTTCCTGCCAAGAGAATTGACCCTTTAGATATGAGACTGACTGACTGATTTAAGATAATTGAGCGATTATTAACTAACTGATCACTAGTAATAATTGTATAATTATTCAAAACTACCTAGAGGTCCGGAGACTCTAGGATTATAACAACTCCGGTGGTGCCCTTAACGAGGACATTTTGATTTTATGAATAAAAATTCATAATTGGGTATCAATTCTTATAAATTTATTAAAATGCATAACTAATAAATTTAGGTCTACTACACAGAGATCTGAGAGTTCATCACCTGCACAACAGTCTGCTAAAACCCTGTCTCTGTCGCAACAGAAGGGGCTTTCCAGAACCTATTACATGCCTTCTTTTTATGTGCTCAAACTGCTAGCTAAAATTTGACAGTTTCATGTTTCAAGCAGCCTTTATTTCTGTAAAATGTCAGTGTTTTTAGCCTGTGGTTAGTATTGTCTGCAGGACTTGTCAGTGTGCATTTGTGTTGGTTTCCTTACAGTCCAAAGACACGCAAGTCAGGTGAGCAGACCACAAATGTAAATGTGTTTATAGCTGCGTTCACTAACATCTGTTCCTTTCAATTCAAGAATACAAGGGATTTATTGCCATATACATTCAAATGCCTCCAGTGCACTTCCATGAAATGGAATTTGTCACACATAAACAAATGTTCAGAATCGCTGTGTCCATAAAGGTACAAACCTAGTTCAACCTTTGTGGCCTGCTGTGTAATACAACTCGTGCTTCATATAAAATCAAAAAAGGAAGACACCCAGGAAGGATCACATTTTTCTGAACTGAAACTGAATAGCGATTGCGCAACTTCATAGTAAGAGTGCATATAAAATCACAGACATCAGCTCAATATGACCACTGGATGTTTAAATATTTAGCTGCACAAAATGGGTTTCTAGCAACAGTGAAAACTACCAGGTCCTAAAACGAGAATCGAATGTCTGGTCAGACTCAATTGGGGCTGTGGCTCAGGAGGACAATCTTGTGTAGTCAATGTCTGATCAGAAAGTGAATGATCAAGTCAAAATAACTTTTTTAATGCTTGTATGATTGTTGTTTGCAATACAACTATGGCTTCTTTTATTAATAAAAAAAAAAAAGAGTTTGACATGTATAACATGCAAGGTATTGTAAAAAAAAGTATTGCTTTGGTATGGATACCAATACTCCTGTGTCTTATAGTGTTTGTATCGAGAACATTTAAAGAACACCCAATCCTTTTGTCGTAGAGAGACAATCACTTTTCTCTCAGTGTCTTGTAAACCCTAATTTTAAGAAGCAAACACTGATGTTACTTATTCCAGGCCGTCCACCCAGATGAGGAGCGAGCATATGGATGATGAGTGAATGAAGTTTCTCAGTTTTAAAAGTTGTCAAGTCTTGCAGCTTCTGAAGGTAGATCAGATATGCCTGAAGTCCTGGATCTTTCAAAGGTGTGTTGAAATGTGCAATATGTATGCGTGCAAGAAATTATATAGAAATTTCAGAATGCAGTTTGGTGAGAAAGTCTCTCCTGCATAAGGAGAAAAGGGAATACATTAGATTGAGGGGCTTCTTAAAATGGGATACTCCCAACCATGTCTCATCAGCCCAGATGAAAAACCAACACAAAGTATACCACTGTGACAAGAACAAGCACTGAAATGCTTTTTAAACCACCCCAAGGACACTAATTAAACAAGGAGGCAAAGGGGTGATGATGAAACTGAGGAGCAACCAGGCCCATCTGATGGGCATGAGGTTACTTTCTCAAAGCCACAAAAACCCAGCTACCCTGAGCCTGTGACGGACACAACGCTGCACTTCTTACATCTGAACACGCGGCAAGGTTTCAACGTCGTTACATACCCAAGGGTCCCTTTCCCTGACATGGGCGGGCTGGGGGGCTTCTGTGTGGGGGGGTTGGTGCGAGGGAGTCCACTTCCTCCTCCGGCTTTCATGTTCTGAGCGCTGGCCTACATGAGGAGAACATGGGTGTAGAAATCTGTTGGTTAACCAAAGGACTTCAGAAACAGAACAATTACAACAAAGAAATGAAAACCTTCAAAACAAAAGCCTGCCTTTAAAGGAACTGTTTTTGACATTTTGAGAATTATATTTATTCGCTTTCTGGTCGAGTTAGAGGAGAGGATTGACTGGAAACAGCTAGCCTGGCTCTGTCAAAAGGTAACAAACCCCACCTATTATGCTCACTAATTGACACGTTACATATGGTTTGTTTAATCCCCAAAATAACAAAACAAGGTTAAAAGTAGTGGTCAGCCGATGTGTTTTTTAATGGGCGATGCATATGGAAGATTTTATTGGACTTTAATATTTGTAACTCACAGAAAACAATCCACAAATGTGTACTATGATGCGTAAATATTTCATTATCTACAAATATGTATTTTTACATTTGTGATGTGTAAAATCATATACACAAAAATACAGAGTGGCTTCTACACACAAAACAGTTTTTGTGCATTTGCAGATTGCTTTCTGTCAATTTGTGGGTCATGGTACATTTGTGTAAAAATTTTGACTGAGTTTAAAAGTGGTCCAGCAGAAGTTGTGGTCTCCTACTTTATGACCCTGGGTACTGCAATGGATATTCCTACAACTCATGAGAGGCAATTTTGCTACCGCCACCTGCTGGTGTAGCTAATAAACTGGTCACACATGTACAGATCTCTGTGGTACAGAGTTGACAAAATTTCACAAATGTGTAAAAAGGAAGTCACAAATGTAACATGACCTGCAAATTGACAGGAAATGATCTGCAAATGGCAGTAACTGTTTTGTGTTTACAGAATAAAATTGTACATATTTGCAAATTGCACTGTATTTTTGTGGATATGATTTTACACAACACAAATACGATCGATCGATCTTTTTTTTTTTTTTTTTTTTTACATATCTCCGCAGTACACATTGGACAAAATTCCACAAATGCGTAAAAATGAAGTTACAAATGTAACATGACCCACAAACTGACAGAAAGCAATCTGCAAATGCACAAAAACTGTTTTGTGTGTAGAAGTCACTCTGTATTTTTGTGGATATGATTTTACACATCAAAAATACACATTTGTAGATAGTGAAATATTTGCGCATCATAGTACACATTTGTGGATTGTTTTCTGTGGGTTACAAATATTAAAGTACAATAAAATCTTTCATAGATACAGATATTTAGAGAGCAGGGCAACTGATGACCGATATATAATGCACGTATCAAAACAAAGAAAAATCATGTATTATTCCATGCAGAGTCCAATCTAATATACATGTTATCTCAGCCAGTAATGTGTTGTTTTAGATGGAAGCTTTATTAATGGATGAAACAGAAACATACATTGGTTTCTGCTGTAGATTTCAGTGTGACTGGTGTTTAAGGGAGAGTGGGGTATAGATAGATTAGAGCTGCTGTCATTTAGGATGAGAGAAACATTTTCACCACCTTCCCAAAGCTCACAAATGGGGAGCACAAACAACCTTTTACAGCAGCCACGGCTGCCTGCAGATGCGTCCACAGACATTTTGTGTTTATTGGCCTGGTGAGTGCAGGTATCAATCGATGCCGATTATCTCAAAAAGCTAGATATCGGACACATTACTTGGCCAACTGATTAATCAGTCTATCACTAGATAGAAGCAACATCAGGGTATATACACAGGAATCTTGAAGTAAAATTCAATACCTTTTCAAGACTTTTTCAACATATTTTAAGACTGCTGCGCCACTTTGAGCTAACCGATTAAAACCAGCCACACATCTTTTAAAAGCGACATTTGAGTTTTTAAAATGAATTTAAATATATTTATAATATATTTATTGCCTATATGTCATCAGGTTGTAACATCACCTAAAAATTGAGACATTCACCAACTTTCTCAGTTGCCTATAACAGCCTGTATGGGCCAACTGTTTTTTACGTGAAGGACTGGTCAGATTTCCTGCAAAAAGCAACTGTCTTACATTAGCTGTGACGTTTATGTACGTAACATTACAGCAGATCATGTAAAACACAGTGTAATTTTGTGTTTTAGTTGGTTTAAACTACATAATGTGAGCATGCCTGCAATGATATGTGTGATAACTTTCATCGACCACTTGATTAATATAACAAAATTCAAACAGGCCAGGAGGGAACAAAGATGAAAAGAATAAACTGAGTGGTGAATAACGTAAGTAGTGTAGGCGGTGTAGCACAGATACAACCTGGAGGAGGAACTAGTCTAAATGACTGTATTAGTATAACATTAAAAGTAAAGAATATTGTTAATTTAATAGTAAACCTTAGTTTGATATTAATATATTCATTATGTTACTATATTCAATATAATTTCATATAATAGTATATACCACTAGTATAATATTAATTCAAGTTACAGCTGTTTCAGTTTGTTTGTTTTTTTTAATTCATTAACTTTGTGCAAGAAAAATTCTCTAGGCTACATGATAGTCTCCAACCTTGATTTTAGGCAGGCTACTATCTCGTCAATAATCATAACCATTTATGCAGAACATTTAGTTCAACATTTCTAAAGTTAGTTACAGCACATCAAACTTTTTTTAAATCCAGCTCTATCCAGGCTGTGATTGATCTGTTCACAGAAAGTGACTGTGACGAGAGTATCGGCTTTTGAAAAGTTGAATGTGTTTCAATAAAAGGAACCGGTTTAGCTAAATAGCCAGCTAACGTTAGCCAAACCCACACGCTCCTTGAATTTTCCCTGTTGTCTTCTGTCTTACCGATTCAGCTGTTGGTATCGCATCTCGCTTTTGTTTTTCAGGAACAGGGCTGTTCAAGTGGCCACAGAGCGACCGGCCAACCGGGTTAATCCCGTTACTCCTGATCGCCACTCCGACTATTTTTTGGACGATTAGCATTGAGGGCCGGGCACGGTGGGAGATTATGGTCGGTTATACTCTTAAATCACAGAAGATCCCTGCGCCTAACGTTACAGAAACGAATCACACAGTCGCTACTCCTCTGCCTGTCTAGTATTTTTGGCTATGCATTAAATAAATACATTCATCTACACTTTTAGCAAACAAACTTTTGGACAAACAGAATTTTCACATTGAACAAAATATCTTCAAAATTGAATACCTTCTTAAATGGCGATTAAGACTTTTAAATTATTTTTAATGGTCTTAATTTCGCAAAATTGATTTATTACCTTTTAAGACTTTTTAAGACCCCGTGGACACCCTGAACATAAAATCTTTTTCACAAAACAAGGCACGCTTAGCTTAGCCAACACTCTTCAGTGTCATATTAAACTGAAACAGAAATGAGAATGGTGTCGATCTACTTTCACTCTCATCAAGAAAGCAAATAAGCGCATTTTCCCAAACTGTCTAGTTAGACGATGGAGATGGGGCGGCTGTGGCTCAGGAGGTAGAGCGGGTTGGCCGTTAATTGGAAGGTCGGCGGTTCGATCCCTGGTTGCGTGTCGAAGTGTCCTTGGGCAAGATACTGAACCCCGATTTGCCCCTGGCGGCTGTTCCGCCAGTGTATGAATGTGTGTGAATGCTAGTTTCCGTTTGAGCACTTAGGCTCAGTGTATGAATGTGTATGACTGGTGAATGCAGATGTAGTGTAAAAGCGCTTTGAGTGGTCAAAGACTAGAAAGGTGCTATACAAGTACGGAGCATTTACATTTGCATATAGATCTCACAGCAATTCAAAACAAAAAAAACACAAATAAAAAAACCTCCCTTGTTTGAGCCTCTTACTTTGAAAGTCTTACCTTAAACCTTTGCAACCACTACAGTTGATTATAAAGACAAAATTAGGCAAGCAGAAAAAGAGAGAAGAAGAAATCAGACAATTAGTGTGTGAAGAAGGAGAAAAACAATTGTTCATCCATGAATACATAAAGCCAGGCTGGTTAGATTCCGGCAACAATGGCCCAGTGTTAAATCCAATCAGGAATTTCTTTCAGGTTTTTCTGGAACTTTCTGGAAAACAATCATTTCTTTGTACAGATAGTCAGTGGGAAACTAGCTTTCCAAAACCAGCCACTTTTACCATTTTATTACATAAAATGATCTGTGCAGAGGAACCTGTTAGCAGAAGCAGGTGACAGATTTACGACAGAGAGCTTATTTAGCAGAATTCTTGTCCTGACATTAGTTTCCCACCCTGATGAAAAGCCTGAGTCATTGATTTTTTTACTCCTCATTGAAACTCAATAGTGACTGTTGACCTTTAAAAGTCCTTCTCATTAGGACACCATCAGCAGTGAATAACACCTATTAATCCTACAACACAAATACAATGTGAATCACACACTTCCTCCTGGCGCATTTTAAAAAAGGTCTCATAACTGTAATTCACACTTCAGAGCAGGGGTTCCCAACCTTTCTTTCACATTAACCCCTAATATGAAGTACTTTTACACAATTAAGTCTAATTGATGAAATTAAGGGGAAAGAACAAAATGACCACCTTGACTCCATGGCCCATGTCGTCTAGCATGCTGTAGTCGATGGGCTTGCGAATGTAGCGCACAGGCCTCTCGGGATTGGCTGGGGCAATAATCTTGTGTGTGCGGGATGTGTTCTTGTTGGTGGTGAGGATGCCAATTTCCCGCCGGGCTACCTTTTCTTTGTGGATGTCCACCGTCTGAGGAGAAGAGGTGGAGGACAGCATATTTTCATGTAATTTTGTTTTTAAATTAAAACACTAGCAAACCAGCTGCTGCCGGGTCTGTGTGAGGGAGAGGTGTTTCAGTCGGCTTCATAATTAGCCTAAAGTTTCTCACCTACATGTAGTAAAGCTATTCTGTTAACAAGGCTACAACTCCAAGTAAGTAAGTTAAACCTGCAGTAACTTTTTTTTTTTGGCAGCAGCAAAACAAGCTGTGAACAGACACATATCATCACCTTTCAAACAGATATGACAAAAATGCTTGCAAACACTTATTATAGCTTGTAACTTACACATCCAGCAGTTGCAGTAACATTAGCACTGAGAGTCGTGTTTTCCCTTTCATACTACTTCTGTAGTTTATTTTTTAAAAGTGCTTATAGGTTTTTGGCAATAACTCAGTGGAGAATGTTCTGTAGGCTACATCACGAGCCAGATGTTCCTTGATGTACTTTAAACCATTACTCATGACTAATAACTTTTTTAAAGCTGGGTCTACAACATTGCCAGCGTTGTGTTGGACAGATTTGTGCTGCGGTGTTTATGAGAGAGAGCGAGAGACGAGCGAGAGGATGTGCTATGGCGCTGATCTGCAATCAAATAAGATTTTAAATAGGCCTAGTAAAATAAAAAATAATAAACGAAAAGCTTGAGAAGCTGCGGTCTTTATTCACCGGCCACTGTAACCTCTACTGTACATTTACTGCTGAACAAGCTTCGTTGCAGACCAGTTTCTCTCCATTCACCGGGGCACCCATTCTCACACTCGCTCCGTCTATTCCTCCTCTACCACCAACACACACTGACCCCTGCGGCTTAGCTAAGAAAGTTAATCAGCTGGGATCATCACAAACATGACAACAGACAGATAAGACAGTAATACTGAACCTGTCGTTTATGTGGAACAGAAAAGCTAACGTTACTCACTTGTCCTGCAGAAACAGAGCAACCTCAGCATTGGTTTTACATGCTTTCAAATCTAGGAGATTGATCCAGCATTGAAACCCCTCACAGATGTTAACACAGGTCTTCCCCTCACCTGGTTATATAACTTGTTTCACAATTCCTCAGACCTTTCCCTCTCTGGCTGTTTCTCAGCCATCTTCACAGCTATAGAGTCGCATATTGAGTACAGCATGTTCGAAGGTGCTGGTGTTTGAGTAGTATGTAGCTGCAGTACTGGAGGCTGCAGTTTCAGGACCGCAATCCTAGAACTGGAACTGCATTTGTAAGACCCTTGTTTACTTTGACACTGCCAGCTAGCTGGCTAGATAGGTTACTCTTGATAATATTGGTTTGTTTACGTTCTCTCTCCCACTGCTTCGAACGCGCTACCGCCACCTACTGCCCGCTCTGAGCAGCTTTGTTTGTGCTCAATTTACAGACCCAGGGCTGTGTGGGAAAACCGGATTTTTTTTCCAGAGCACACAAAAAACAGAGCTAGTGACCCAGGAGAAAATATTCGCTAATTTTAATATACAGTGTACTGGATAAGAATCGCAAAGTATCACTTTAATTCTGTTTTTGGTCTAAATTCTGACATTTTACTCACAAATCTTTGAGGGTTCAATTAGGATAAGACTCTGGTGGGGTAATCACTCCTCTTGGCAGGTGAGCCAATAAGGTAATTTGTGGGATTTTTCTAAGTCAGTTGCTGACCTGTGAGATGTGGTTGATGGAGGACTCCATGCGGCGCAACTGCGATGCCTGGATGTCAAGCATCTGCAGGACATTGTTGGCCAGAGTGTTGATCAGGTAGGCTACACTGGCCAGAGACTGGGTGGTGTAGTTCTTGGTCTCCTCCAGTGCCCTCTGTTTGTCTGGGGACTGTATGAGAGAAAGGAGACAGCAGAAAGAAGAGTGACATTTGACTTTTAAAAAAAAAAAAAGAGAGATAGATTTGCATTTTATGTGCAAAGGAAGCAGCCAAACCCAGTTTACAATGAACCTTTGTTCCAGATGACATAGTAAAACAGGTTGAAAGCCAATATTTCCTGGGCATGACCATTGGCACTGCAGTTGACATCATTACTGATGAATGTGCTGAACATTTTCTCAATTAATCAATTTGTCTATAAAATGCCCATCACAATTTCCCAAGCCCAAAGTGATCATCAAATCGCTTATGTTGTCTGACCAGCACTCCAAAATGCAGATATGTTCAATATTCTGTCATTTTGGACAAGGAAAAACAAACAAAAAGACAAATCCTCACCAAAAGACTACCTGGAGTGGGAGACATTGCTTGAAAATCAGTTTAAATTGTAGAAGATTTGGTTTTCAGTCCATCAATTAACTGACTAATTGTTGCAGCTCAGCGTATGTAAAGTAATGCAGCTCTGACGTGAAAATTCTCAACTCAGCATAAAGAAATGAAGATAAACTTCAGATAAAATAAATGTATGAAATCAGAAGCATTGAAATATTTACTATAATAGATTTTTCCACTCTGTGGAAGATGAGCATTGACACTAGGGCTGAAACGATTCATCGATTAAAATCGATAAAATACATCGACACAAATTATTTGCCTCGATGCTTCGTTTAATCCATATAACTATAAAGCACTGTGTTTCGCACGGACATTTATTACTGTCGCACATCGCGCTTACGCTGTGAACCTGACGTGATTATAATGGAGCTGTCTGCAAATTGGAGTAAGAGAGAGAAAATAGCGAGGGACAAACAAGAAAGTATCCAAAGTATGGGGTTATTTCAAGCTAAAGAAAACAACAACTCTGTAATGTTACCGTCCGTCCACCGTAAAACAAAACTTATGTCACCTCGGCAACAGCACGACAGCATCCAAACAAAAAGCAGCCGATGTTCTGCCAGCGGACCACAGACATGGTAACAGTAACTTTAGCATTTAACTGAAATAATGATTGATTGTTGAGTTTAAGGCTAGCCAAAGTAAGCCACAGTCCTCAGCTGAAAATGTACACACATGCGTTTGTTGTTCTCCTTTTTGGGCCGCAAGTTGTAACCTCACCATCATGAGTTAACTGGGTGTCAGGGAGTTTCACCTTTTAACTCACCTGCAGCTCTCTCTGTAGCTCAGACAATCCCTGCTACCTGTGTGTGCTAATCCATCCCTTCACCCATATTCTTAGTCTTTATAATTAGGAGTTCAGTGTCTTGCTCAGGGACACATTGGTGTCTCACAGTGGATTCGAACCCAAGTCTCTCACACACAGACCAAAGTCTTATCCACTGCTCCATCTCCACCCAAAAAATTTATCGCTGCAGGTCTAATCTGTCTTCAAGGTTTTTTAAAACGAAAGCTAAAAACTACAGCCTTCCTTTGTTGTGACACCAAGATCTCAGGTGCTAAATGAACACATAATGCAAGAGGGGTTTACTTTGATTCAGATGACCTAAACTAAAGATCATCCTTGTAGCACAGACACAAAAGGGAACAGATACAGTTATGTAGCTAATAAATTTAACCCTGAGTGCAATTTGTGGCAGCATGGTGGAGAGGAACTGCTGCCTCACAGCTTTCAGTGCCAAGAAGTAACATTTTAGTCAAGTAAAAAAACAAAACCCTTTAATGGCAGTGAAGTGAGCAGCAAGTAATGCAGCTTGCAGCCAGTGGTTTGGCCGTGGGTACAGCGTGGGCAGGTGGATCAGCTCATGTTTCTGCTGTGAAACTGTGTTCCTTATGTCTGCATGTGTCACAGCAAGCACAGCTGAGTAACACAAAACAAGTACATCATTATTTAAATTAAAGTAGATCTATTTACTGTAATCAACTTATCATTAGTCATTTTTCAAGCAAAAATGGTCGTTATTTAAGCTTTTATTTGTCTTATGTGGCAGTAAACTAATTATTTATAAGATTTAGACGTTAGGAAACAGTGATGATAGATAATGAAAAGAATCGTTAGTTGGAGCCTCATTTATAAAGTGAGGTGAATACTTAAAGATTGATTCATTACTAATTTTAAAAAGTGAACTGTTGTAAACAAACAGCTGAAGCAACTAGTTGGGGTCTAAAATTAATCAGAAACTAATTTTACAAAATTATCATTTAAAGAATTTTTCCAAACATTGGATGTTCCCCTGCTTTTTAAATTATTTTTCTCATCTTATGTTCTAATACATTTATTATATTTGGGTTTTGAACTGGTGGTCGGACAAAACAAGCCATAACTGACAACTGCAATGGGCATCTTTCACTATTATCGGATGCTAATTGACTAACCTGGAAAATAGTCTGTAGAGTAATTAATTTAGCAAACCGTAAAGCAAAGAATCTTTTCATTATCTATTTCAACCCTGCATGCACTTCCTTCTGTGGGTACAGCATAGCAGCAGATTGATTACAACACGCTCTGGGTCAGAGAAGCATTGGGGTTGTGATTGGATATAGATTAATTGGTATCCTTTGATCTTTTCAAAAGTATGCTGCCAACTGACAGGACAGCCCAAAAAATATAGGTGTTCCAATACATTTCTTTGTATCTCAGTTGCAGTCCCAAGATATCCATTAACTGATTGCTTGACATGTCAAATGCAAATCAGGAAATGGGAACAATCTCACTATTTGTACAGTGAAATACAGTCATGCTGTTAAACTTTACTTCTGTAACACACAACACATTTGGATCAGATTTTTTGGCTAAACTGATTATTGTGAAACTGAATAAAGATAAAACCCAACGAGGCAGCACATTAAAGCTACAAGCCGGGGTCTACCCCACGGGCTGAACCAGCTGCATCCTCAGTGGGAATACGTCTGTTCCCTTTTATGTGAAACAGAATGTGCTTGTGATACAAGATGCATTTCTGTGGAATCACAAAGAGCAATCCAATCCAACAAATCATCAGGAAAACAAACAAACAGTTTCATTTAAAGGTGGGGAGAGGGTGCAGCACTGACAAACAGGTTGTGTGGCAAAAGTCAGGAGTATGTAGCTGTAGCTCCTACCTGCAGGGCAGAGAAGAGACAGAACTCATCTATTGGCCACACCTGCTACTACGTAGACTGAATGATTATACAATTTTTGGAAGGGAAGGATGAATGCATGGACCAATAACATATGTCTAGGTTAGTAGGGCTGGGAATCAAACACAGGTTCCAAGGTGCACTGTACCAAATTTCCAAGAACTGTGGATCTGTTAAGACACGTGCATTTGGATTCTGCTTATCGGTTCCTAACTTTCTGCATATTTCAGCGTGGCTCCCGATTGAACTGCAGTGACCATTTTACAGCTCATAAAAGTGTCACCTATCTGCCAGGACCCGCTACGCCGACCTAACGTCACCTCCTTTGTTACGCAGTACGTCAACAAAGCATGAAGACAGTCCTTCAGATTCCATTCCTGGACCATGGCGGACCGCAGCAAACGCTCCAAAGTTTGGCTTAACTTCATTAAAAAAAGAAATGCAACACCTGCAGTAAGGAGATTTGGTGCAAGGGAGGAAGCAGCTCCAACATGACGAAACATTTACTTCAACGTGGCGTAAATTTGAAAGAACGCACCTTGTTCAATGTGTCGACTCTCCCAGCTAACCTAACCCCTAACCCAGAAACTCCTTTCACTTTAGCCACAAAAGTGAAGAAGGGTTAAGGATAAAGGTCACCGAGCGCAGACAAGATATGTGTTGAAGAGTTTGGATTTAGAGGCAAGATTCCATAGGAACTGGGTTCGATAACTAGCATCAGAATAGTTAAAACTATAACATGACGCCAGAGATTGTTGTGACACCTAAAACTGATAAGAGGAAACACTAAATTATATGTCACTGATGAGGAAACTGTATTTAATATTGATCAGTCACATCTGGCTGATACCAAGTCAACTTAACAAGGTCAGTATTGGACCTGATACCGATCTAGCGGGTCACATGGGTGTTTCCCTATTTATCAAATTAAGGGCTAATAAAAACCATAAAAAGCAGAACGTCACAGACAAATCACTGCCTGAAAGTATCCTCAAGTTGTTTAAAATGAGAGTCAATATGATTTGAGAAGAGTATACGCAGCACACTCTGTATATGTTTGATAATGTTTTAAAATAATTAAAAAGGACATATTGAAAAGTCGGTTCACAATGTAAAGTTGGCATTACTATAATAAGGATTGTAACAAATGTGTCTGATGTTACATTTGACATCAAATAGGGAGTGTTTTGTAAAAATGGCATAACTTAAAATCCCTATTGGTGCATTATTTTCTATGTTAGTACTATATTGTTTTAAGTAATTATCATTTTTGTTGGTTTCCCCGCAAAGAGTTTGTGTAATTAATTACAAACCAAAATACATTTCAAACATGTAAGATATGTCATATTCTTAGTTGTTTTAATAGCTGGAAATGTTTCTGTCATGACAACAAAAAAAAAAAGACTTGGGGATGAAATCCATCCACCATTTTTTCTGGTCCACAGTGCAATGCAACTACAGGAAAGACTCTGAATGTGACAAACTTTCCTCAACTCCTTTTCTCACTAGCTTTTCCCATATTTAACCCACACCTGAATCACAACGAGCCAACTCACTCCTCTTCAGGTGGTTGTGAAAAAAAATGTGGGAAGACAAAATAACTCCTGGAAGGTGTCAGACTGATATTTTATTCTGTGAAAAAACATGGTTTTAATATTAGTTCACATACCTGTAGCACATGTTACCAGTGGAAAAATAAAAGACTATCCAACAAGTATCCATTCCTACATGACTGATGTTACAAGGAACCCAGCTTTAGGACAGACATGGCAGAGTGAAGATGTGAATTAGGACTGAGAGGGAGAGGTGAAAAATACCACTAAAAACCCCTCCGACAAATACTTCTGTCCAGCTAATCTACAAGTGGTACTATCCATCTGACAGCAGCTTGGAAAACCTGGCAGGGTGAGAAGAAACCAGGGTAGCCTGCCAGACAGCACACTGACAAAATTCAACCTGTCAGACCCGATTGGCCCTGTTTATCAAGGATGGCATATTTCAGTATCCCACCTTGTCAAAACCTCTCCCAGCTAAACACTGTGGTCCCAATGTTCAACCCCCTATGTGATAACAGGCTTGAGACGAAGCTCAGCTGGAGATCACACCGGCAGAATCTTACTGAAGCTCTGAATGGGATTGACTGTACTTTCACACCAGCCAAAATGCTGTGCAAATCAACAAAGAAAATGTTGACTCAATAGATGCAAGATTACACTGTCCCTCCCAACCCGAAGAACACTGTATGAATGAAGATAAGAAATCGTGTAGATACCGGCATTTAACTAAGCATTACGTTAAGAGCAAGTCGCTATGTTTCAGTCCAACACCACAAATCTGTGGTTGTTGATAATATTGTCACGGCAGTTGATCTTCTGTCAACCAAAGCTCATTAGAGATTAATCTGGCGCTTGATATCGCGTCCTACATGTGACTGGTGCATGATCGGCTGGTTTGCCGGTGTTGTAGCCCTACTGGTTTTAAAACTAACTGGTTGCCATACGCGTGCACTACATTAGAGCCACATACGAAAAAATAAATTAAAGAAAACAGACTTTTTATAAAATCGCGTCAAGCTGGATTCGAACTCATCTGAGCAAAAGGTAACTTTTTTTCCCCCCATTTCTCCACATTACCTGCGAGCTAACCGAGCAAATATAGATTACGGTTGTCCAGTCACGTATTGATGAAGCTCGTCATCATCCACGTAACAAATTTGTTTTGGATGATCTAAAACAACTGGTTACCTTGAGTGATTTAAAAAAAAATACCATAACATGTTTATCACGGTGTTTTTCTCGAGGCTTCGGCAATATTGACTCCCTAGACACTATGACACATGAATGCTTTTAAACAGTGACGAATACTGTGAAAACATGAATTTATTGTCAACACCGAGGCACAGGAAGAGTAGAAGTGGAAATATTCTGCCCACAACACTGTAGGCCTAAGGCATGGACTTAACGATTTACAGCCATCGTCCAACACAAAAAGCATGCTCAAGTCAGAATTAGGAAACAAAAAACTGGAATTTGTAAGGAAGTTACATTGTGTTTTACACTTGATAAACAAGCAGCAAGGCGGTACCTGGTTTAGGCTAATGTAGGCTTATGAAGATGAGCTTGAACAACTACTAACAAGTTAAATGGGTTTTATGTTAGTGTTTTGGGAAATAAACCAGGCTCAACTTGCAGTAGGCTACACAGTGTAACTCATTGAATGCGTGTGTGGGGACAGGAATGGGAACGCCTCCGAACTTGTCTGAGAATCCTCCGGTTTTTAAGATTTTTTCTGTATCAAACTAATTCACTCACAGTGGTCAGTACATCCAATGGTACACAGCACAAATTAACTGTCTTCGGTTAATTCAGCGAACAGTATATGAACAAATGATTCACGGATTGAAATGTTTGGGTCATTTATTGTATCCTATTTCAATGGCCCACCACGCTGAGGACATTATTTGGAGCAGCTAAAGCTCGGCATTAAAACGCGGATTGGACGAGCACTTACTGGTAAAGAGGTCTGAGTGGGTGCCTCGTATTTTACTACAGCCTACAATATAGGAAGGATGGATGTGAATTAAGTCCATGCCTTAGGCCCATAGTGTTGTGGGCAGAATATTTCCACTTCTACTCTTCCTGTGGCTCGGTGTTGACAATAAATTCATGTTTTCACAGTATAGTCGGAGTTAGATCGTCACTGTGTAAAAGCATTCCCGTGTCATAGTGTGAGGGGGCTGTAATGCAGTGGTCAATATTGCCGAAGCCTCGAGAAAAACACCTTGATAAACATGGTATTTTTAAGATCGCTCAAGGTAACCAGTTGTTTTAGATCAGCCCCAACAAAGTGTTACCTGGATGATGACGTGCTTGATCAATATGTGACTGGAAATCATTTATCTGTAACTGCTTGGTTAGCTCGCAGGTAGCGTTGAGTGATTGGAGAAGATACTGCGTTTTACTCAGATGAGTTCGAAACCAGCTTGACACGATTTTATAAAAAGTCTGTTTTCTTTAATTTATTTTTTCGTATGTGGCTCTAATGTAGTGCTCACTTATACAATCATGATCGCCGCAGTAGATTAAAGATGCGACTTGAAACTCGCCAGGAACATGTTTGTGAATGTGTGACGAATCTGGGGATGAAATCAGTCCGCAGCTGCTGTGCACAACACGCGCACGCGTATGGCAACCAGTTAGTTTTAAAAATAGTAGGGCTACAACACCGGTGGCGGCAGTGATTGATCGAGCAGAGCGCACAGATGTTGATTTTCACGGTGCCTGTTTTGTAATTTCGACCGTGGGTGATGCCGAGCAGCTGGCTAGCAAGCTTCCAGGCTAACGCGATAGCCTTCGATTGATGTAACGTTATAACAAGTCATACACATTGTTCTGTCGTTAGCAATATGAACGTAACATTAAAGGCAATGTTGATACCTCTTGATATGAATGAAGCGGGAAAATGTCAAATTATGTGTTAGTTATCAGACAAAAAGCCCTGACAGCGGGTTGTTTTTGCTTTAGCCGAAGCTAGCTAGCTAACACGGCTGCAGCACATCGGTAGCTTTAGCTACAGCTAGCAGCATCGGTTCGCCCCACAGTGGTGCCGTCAGTGATGCCCTTCAAAAAAAGGAACTACACCGTGTTTTCTTCCACGCATGTGACAGCCTACCTGGACATAGTTGCTCTCGCAGTACTCCGCGACCCTTTCCAAATTGGTGAAACTATCCAGTAGTGCGCTTCGTCCTGCTGGAATCTCCTCTTCCAGAAGCATTTGTAGCTCCGCCATTTTCACATCTTTAGCGGAGCGGCGCGTGTGTGTCGGTTTGGGCTCGCTGCCGCCATCGCGGCAGTGTGCGGTACTGCAGGGTTCTCCCAGCAGCTGGTGGAGAGCAGGAGTGCCCAATGTATAATATTTCAGAACAGAAATTACTCCCATTTGGTTGAATGCTTTAGTGGTTTCCAAATTGCTGCTTAAATGCATGTAATAGGTTTACTGTAGTGATATTTTTATTATGTTTCAGTTCTCTAATATTGTACTTTCACACTAACTCAATGACTACTTGTAATAAAAATAAGACCATATTTATTTCCCTTGGGTGATCCAGTTTTTATTCTTTTATCACTCCCTCTCCACAGAATCAGTTACAGAGCAGCAGGCTTGGCTCTGGTGAGAAAATTGAAACTTTCCCAAGGGCCCTTAGAAGCACAGATATTAAAAATCATTCATCTTATTCATTTAGCTGACACTTTTATCCAAAGCGACTTACAATTGGTACATATGTCAGAGGTCGCACGCCTCTGAAGCAACTAGGGGTTAAGTGTCTTGCTCAGGGACACATTGGCGGATGGGTCACAGGCAATTCAAAGTGCTTTACGTGAGTTAATTTAGTTAAAAATATTCCTTGTGCAGACTGAAACCAGACTAATACAGGAAACCACGACGTGACAGTGCCACTCTCCTCTGATACCAAATTGAAAAATATTTATTTGATGTAGGAAATGTGCTCGTTAGGAAAGAAGTGATACACAATTAAAAATATAAATGAATGACACAAACACACACAAAATCCTCATGTATTTGATGTAATGATGTGTAAGATGCAACTGTGTTGAAAAAAAATTAATGACATGTCTAAATGTCATGTGAGCCATTTAGACAAACAAGCCACATGCCATTGGGAATTTTGACTCAAGGCAGAATTAAAGAAAAAACTTTGGCACACAAGTTGTTTTGATCTTTCTTGTGACAAACGTACTTATTATAAGTTGCTTTGGACAAAAGGATCTACTAAATGCCCTAAATGTAAATGACATCTACTTCGCAGAGTATTAAACCACAGAGTTTCTCTACTCTAACAGATGGAGTCTTTCAACAAGTGCAAATCTGACCTGACAAGGTAATAATGTGCTTAAGGCCTCAGATTATTTTACAGTAAAAAAAAAAAAACAGAAATACAACCATGGGAACATATGGTGGTGCAACTTGGATGTAAAAACACAATGACTATACATAAAAAGTTGGGAAAAAGCTCTTTACAACAAAAATATAACATAAGGCATGGGTTCCTCTGGCAGACTGAATCCTCTAAATTCAAGAAATACTTTGCTGGTAATTCCTTTAATTAAGATGTTAAATTAAAAACAAGGGTTTTAAGAACTAGTTCTAGCTTCGTCTGCTGACAGTGATCCAGGTCTCGTCCTTAGGTGTGGATACCAGCTCAGATCTGACCTCCACGACCTGTCCCTTCAACTGGTGAAGCTTCAGCTGTCGCACCACCGTGCTGAGCAAGACAGTAGCTACAGGGTAGGCGAACCTGTCAGAGAGACCAAATATAATTAATCATGGAAATTTCATTCAAGTATACAGGATGTCCAAAACAGTGAGTATGTCCAGATCATTTTAGCCAAACTACCCCCACACAGCACACTCAAAGTCACTCAAGTCAAATAAGATTCTTTTTACAGCTCCAAGAAAGCTTGAAATCAAATTCATCAAATTTCTCAACTGTTTTGGAGCTATAAGGTTAAACTGAGGGTCCGTCCAATATTACTCTCAGTATCATTAGCACAGTCTAGACCCAGAGGGATAATAAGGTACAGATCAGACAAAATGCATCTTTACCTGAGCTCTGGGCATGTTTGATTTCCTGAAAATCCAAGCAGACAGAAGCTTTTCCTGACTGATTCCTCCTCAAATCGATCTGGGTCAAACCTGAGGAATGTCACAGTAATCAGAAATTTTAGATCAAATCAAATTCTAAACCTGAAAGATACCTCACCCTGTGATGCTGTCACACTATTTCAACTATCAACGTTTGTTTAGCAGGTAAAGTGTTTACCATGTTCACCATCTTAGGTTAACGTGTTAGCATGCTAATATTTTCTTATTAGCACTAAACACAAAGTACAGCTGAGGATGATGGGAATGCCTTGAATTGTACAGGTATCCAAAGTATTAGACAAATTCAAGTTTTGACGTGATGGTGGGGCTAGAGGAAAAGCCAGGGGGTCACAGTTTTTTATAGTTGTTTAGTCCAGACGCCACTCCCCAGACATTTTGAAATGAATTGATAAACATGTCAATAGTAAATGTAAATGTATATAAAGTGAACCTGTATGGGGCGCTCCAGGTGTCACAATCCTGCAGCACCACTCCCAATGCATAGATGACCAAAGTCTGAAATATGGCAAGGCAACAAAACTTATATATGTGCAAAAATATATATATATACACCATGTTTTATATGATCCTGTCTTAATGCCTTTTATGATTCTAAAGCACTTTGAATTGCCTTTTTGTTGAAAGGTGCTATACAAACAAACTTGTCTTGCCACCCTTACTCTTGTTATTTTCAGTTCTAATATACAGTAATTAGTTTTTCTTGTAGACACAGGGGGAAAAAAAGTCTACATAATAGGGACCATAAAAAAACATATCACATCACTGAATTCTTGTTTTGGTTTCCACTCTTTGGATGACTAACTTCTCCAAATACACTTTTCAGATGAAGAAAAAGCTCACATACACAATACCTACAGCCATGAAGATATACACATTTCCACTAAATGGCTATTTGTTTTTTCTTAGACAGTTTATCAATTGTAATTCCAATCATGTCAGGTTTATTATGTTGGTCAAACCAAAAAGGCACACATTTTCTTCAAAATTAAGGTTTCTCTTCTGAAGGTCTCTCTACAATAAATGTGTCAGATCATCTGGCTCTAATAACCTGTGATGAGCTTAAGTGAAATAAACAGACAGACAGCAGGAAACCAGATACCTCTTTAGGAATGACGTGTTGATCGACTTTGCCCTCCACTTGCTGAAGCTGGGCAGCAACGGGGGTCAGCTTGGCAGTCCTCACCGTCTCGTTGAGCACCTGCTGGCAGTATCTTTCCAAAGACAGTAATGTGATAAGATCAAGGTCATTGAACACATCAACAATGCCTGGATGAAATTTTGACCTTGAATTATTAAGTCCCAAACTGGCAAATCACAGTGAAAACATGCATTATCTTTCCATGTTTCACTAACACTGGATCAATGCCAGGTGTGTAGCCTGAGATTTGATGGATTAAATAGAAAGCCAGATCCACAGCTCTTACCTGAGCTGAGGGATCTTGTCCAAGGTAACTGGATCTGAACCCAAAACCTCATCCAGCTCCTGGTACAGTTTGTCCTGAACTTCCTCTGAAGTGGACAGGAAGCGAAGTGCCCATATACACACTGCCAAAACAACATTTTAAATTTAAGCTTTAGGGATTCATCAGGGAATGTTTGGGGTTGGGGTTTGATTTCTTGTTCTAGGACACTTTATTTGATGTACACACATGCTGACTGTTTTAGGGATTCTACGGTTAAATCTCAACATCAGAAAGAAAATTCTGGATTATTCTTCTCATCCTTCTCACTTGTGAAGGAAAACCATGGTCTCTTTTTAGCCATAAAGTTAGAACAATGTGATATTTTGCAGACAGAAAATAATCTCCTCTATGTGACATGAAGCTGAGGAGATTGGTCAGTTAATTTTAGAGCTGAAACAGTTAGTTGATTAATCAAGTATTTGAAAAATTGATTTAAGTTATTTATTGTTTTGATGGTTGTCACTTACAGTTGGCAGTGATGACGCATCCGGCCAAAGTGAAAACCATGCAGTCCTCCATGATCTGAAACAAGCAAAAACTGTATTTCAGTAGGTTTTCAGACCTTGGGGAACCATGAAGATATTTGGGTTGTCTTCTGGGCTTTAAACTAGAATTGGTGACATCATCAGTATTCACCTGTCGTTCTGTGAGGCTGGACTGAAGCAGAGCATCCACAAACACAGTCTGCTTCTTCTGGGCTTTTCTCTCCTTAGCCACTGACAACAGCACAGCCTCCATCTCTGACAGAGCTGAAGAAAAACAAATGACATTTGTTACTTTTTCACATGAACACTTACACTGTGGTTACAAGTTAAAGGGTCTGCTTCCTTCTGGCTCTTCAAACAGCATCTAAAATTAACTCTGACCACGTGCCAAGTCCCAGTAACAAGTGTCCTTGGCAGATAAATCAACTAGTCCTCCAAAACACTGCCTTTCACTGATTAAGGCGAGAATAATGAAGACTTGGTTATAGTTTTTATCTGTTGTCTGTCACACAGAGATCAAGTGAGCAACTCAAGAGCCGAGCAACAGTCGAAGCCCAGCACTGCTCCCACATGTCAACACACAGCAGGGGTGAGGGAGCTAACATCAGTTATTTTAAAGTTCATGATGCAGACTCACTAACCTTTCTCATAATGTGCTTTCCTGCTGGAGCTCTTCTCCAGGGAGCCGTCCAGGTAGCCTTTCCCGATTTCTGACCAGATCTGGTGGCACCAGCGTGAGTCAGAAGAAGAGAAAAACAAATCAACTGACCCATTTCAACAGACCAAATTCCTGGTTAAGAGGTATTGAAATCCTAAAAGGACTCCATGCCCTTTGTAGACGTTCAACAAATATGCAAAAATAATATTGTAGAAGATGCAAAAGACCACATTTAACACCCTCAGGTGCAGATAAATGGACCAGAATCCAATGCACAAGAGTGATTTTTCTCAGCTAGAAAACCTTTCACTCCACTGTGGCTATGGATCTCTTCCTTAAGGTAGGTGGCATTGTCTCACCGCGTCGTGGTTCTTGCGGAAGGAAAGGACCTCAGTATCGTCTTTATAGCGCTCGCCCAGAGCAAGCTGGGTGACAGACTTCATGGCCAGACCCAGCAGGTGGGCACACAGAGGGGTGTGTTGATCCTCCGGGAATGACTTCCACTTTCCCATCAGCTCCTCCACCAGCTAAGTGAAAGAAGACAAACAATTTCAGAAAGTGTATTAATGACTTCATTTCAGCGAGGAAGATAAAGGTTTTGCAGTGGTAAATATGTCTTTTCATCAGCGATATGAACCTTGAGCACAAGAGGGAAGTTGTTCTTCAGTGTGTTGTTGATGGCACTCTCATACACCTTTTTCCTTATTACAGTTTCAGTGGCCCCGCCTCCCATTCCTGACTGGTAACCTAGCAACGACTTCAGCATCGTCTCAAAGGAGTCAGCTGAGAAGAGCAATAAAAACAAAGCTTTGTTTGTTTTTGTTTACAACAGGATAAAAAAAAAGGCTGATACATTTACCTAATATAATCAAGGATTTTTGTATTGTTATCATCAGCTAGCAAAATTTTAATTCCTCACAGAATAACCTACCATGACCAACTATGACAGAGGCCTCTGGTGCACTTACTGGTGTGGTTGGGGTTGATGTGTTGCTGCAGCTGGTGCACAGAGCCCAGGCTAACCACCGGCCGACTCCCAAACCAGAATGACGCCACAGACCCAAACTCCTGATGCAGACTGACGAGGAACTCATGCAGACTGCCTTTGTTCACAATGTCCTGCAGGTTTCCATCTCTGTGACAGGAGAGTCATGATGTACATCTGCTACACACCACCCGATTGATATGTGCTGACATTGGAAAGTTACTTTGTCCCTGTCAATGGTAAAAATCTGGACATCTGTTAAAAAGTACAAGAAATAACATATTTTACACATATTGTTCTATAAATGTATTTTTTTCAGGGTATTAGACTTGTGTTCTGTTCAATAAACTCCTTACTAGAGTGTTATAAATAACAGGACTTGCCAGGGAGCCTGCTTGCATATAAACCTTACAAAATCCTTTTACTTAATGAAAGTTAACAGCAGCTGGAAAAAGCAGCGGAAAAGATGTCAACTTACTTCTCATCTGTAGGATTGAGACCTGGGATGCCAGAGGCCCTTCTAGATGACTGAAAACATGATTAGAAATGCATTTTTGCAGTTAGTGTCAATGAAATACTTCATTATTAATATGATTTTGATAATATAACGTTAGATGTGTTCTGCCAAATCTGGTGTTCACACGCCTTTACTGTCTTGTCTGATATGTTGGTTGGTTAGGTTGGTTATCCCTGTCCAGATTACAGCTACAGCCGTTATGTTAGTGGTCCATTCACTAGTATGAAATCAAATTGGGAATTGAATGCGGAATTGGGAAAACTGAATGCGTCTTCACATTGGAAAACCCCGTGTAAGGTGATAAATTTTAAAGTCTTCCGGTAAAATTGGCAGACAAATGACAAATTAATTACAAATGACAGTATTTATCTAACACTCGACTTAAAAAACTGGTTTGGTAAGTGGATTACGAAGATTGAAGTTGTAACTTATTTCATTGAACCAGGCTACTGGTTGGTGTGTTGGATGTCTGCTGCATGCCTAAGTGACAAAGGCATTGTAACAATTCGTTGAAGATCTTTAATGATCTTATATGAGACGCTTCCGCTTGCCGATGAGTATTGGCTTAACAATGCCTGGGCATAACAGACAGCTAAATAGCTAGCGTTAGCATAACTTGCAGCTACCTACAAACAGCAGTGACTCACCGGGTACAAATACAGAACAGCGCCGACCAAAATGATGACAAATGTGACAGCAAAGATGGCAAAGTCCAGCATGACTTCTCGCTTTAAAGAGCACTACTCTGCTAACTTTTAGTCATGAATATCTGGAGATTTCCACACAAGCTGGTAACAGTCACTGTTACCACGTCAACAGAAACTCCTCGGGTAAGATTGTTTCTCTGTGCTCGGCTACACAGCCTGGATGGCAGGGAGACCAAACTAATTGACACCTGATTGACACTCAATGACACACTGTTTGCCAACTGCATTCACCCATCACATGTCGACTGACTGCCTGTTTTTATTGTTTCTCTGACATGTTTAACAGGAAATATATTAATGGTTTTATAATACTTGTATTGTAAAGAAAAAATATAAATAAAGATTTAATAAATATGTGAGTCTATGTGCTTTGCCTGGTCACACCATAACAGAAATATACTGTTAAATTTGGTAAGGTCACATTCTGTACAGATTATGAAAATCTATATATATCTATCTATAGTATCAATAGGTTTTATGCATGAGCACCTAATTCCTGTAGAATGTAATAAAGAAGTGCTGTTGGATTTGTTGGATAAAAGTCTGTATTTAAAAAGAGACAAGCACATTCACATTTCAAAAATACAAAAATAATCTAACACATTCAGAGTTCACTGCCAAAATACAGAGCAAAAACAAATATGTGCAAAACAACCACAACAAAGCTCTGCAGTAGGTGTCACAGCAGATACAGGCTACAGAATTCTTTTTTCCTCAGGCAGTCATTTCCGATCTTTCGTCTGGTTTGGGAGGCTCAATCTCCATTGCCATCAGAAAACCTGAGGCAGAAGCACAAGATAATAGAATCAATAATTAAGGCAGATTTTTAAAAAACCCAATTTGATATTAAAACAGTATTTAACACAGACTATTCTCTCTCACACTCTGTGTAGTCTGTTTCCGGTCGGGTGGCAATGAAGATCCAGGCCAGCCCCACCAGCAGCGCCACCACCAGGTTGACGGTCACCCACGGGTGGAGAATCTGGTGCTCCGACCCTGGTGGCCTGGAGAAGAAAAAGGAGATCCTGAGATACCATATCCAGGCTTCATGGTGAGAGAAATATGATTCAGTGAGCTCACCATAAGGTTGTGTTGAAGACTGGGTACAGGTTGATTCGATCGCTGGTCATCTGTTGGCTCAGAGAGAGGACCAATGCGGAGAAATACACTGGATGAAACCAAATAAACAAAGAGTGTGAAGTGAAACCATCTGTATGAGAGGAAAAGCACTGATAACCCTTAAAGACCCTGTGCTGAAGGGGCGGATTTTAACTTGGACTCACAGAATGAGGCGAGAGCGACGGGGTCCAGCGTGATGAACTCCCGCAGAGCCATTGAGCCTTTGGCCAGGTTAACTCTGAGAACATAAGACTACACTTTCTTAAAAAACAACAGATTTTTCAGCTGCAGTCCTCCTAAAATACATACATTCCTGAGCAGCTTCACTGTAAGTAAAAAAGCATTCTATGAAAGTTAGTATTCCATAAAGTTGGGGGAGTTTAAAAAGAATTAAAGCAGCAGAGGCCGAGACCTCCAGATATCCAGTAAACCCTGGAGCCTGGATAATTCACTCCAGTTTGTTAAAGGTTCAGTGTGTAATACTTCTGAGGCTCTATTGACAGAAATGCAATATAAGATCCATAACTATGTTTTCAGTGGTGTATAAAGACCTTACATAATGAACCATTATGTTTTTATTACCTTAGAATGAGACACTTACAGTGGGTACGGAAAGTATTCAGACCCCTTTAAATTTTTCACTCTTTGTTTCATTGCAGCCATTTTCCAAAAATCAAAAAAGTTCATTTTATTTCTCAGTAATGTACACTCAGCACCCCATCTTGACAGAAAAAAACAGAAATGTAGAAATTTTTGCAAATTTATTAAAAAAGAAAAACTGAAATATCACATGGTCATAAGTATTCAGACCCTTTGCTCAGTATTTAGTAGAAGCACCCTTTTGATCTAATACAGCCATGAGTCGTTTTGGGAAAGATGCAACAAGTTTTTCACATCTGGATTTGGGTATCCTCTGCCATTCCTCCTTGCAGATCCTCTCCAGTTCTGTCAGGTTGGATGGTAAACGTTGGTGGACAGCCATTTTCTGGTCTCTCCAGAGATGCTCAATTGGGTTTAAGTCAGGGCTCTGGCTGGGCCATTCAAGAACAGCCACGGAGTTGTTGTGAAGCCACTCCTTCGTTATTTTAGCGGTGTGCTTAGTTTCATTGTCTTGTTGGAAGGTAAACCTTCGGCCCAGTCTGAGGTCCAGAGCACTCTGGAAAAGGTTTTCGTCCAGGATATCCCTGTACTTGGCCGCATTCATCTTTCCCTCGATTGCAACCGGTCGTCCTGTCCCTGCAGCTGAAAAACACCCCCACAGCATGATGCTGCCACCACCATGCTTCACTGTTGAGACTGTATTGGACAGGTGATGAGCAGTGCCTGGTTTTCTCCACACATACCGCTTAGAATTAAGGCCAAAAAGTTCTATCTTGGTCTCATCAGACCAGAGGATCTTATTTATCACCATCTTGGAGTCCTTCAGGTGTTTTTTAGCAAACTCCATGCGGGCTTTCATGTGTCTTGCACTGAGGAGAGGCTTCCGTCGGGCCACTCTGCCATAAAGTCCCGACTGGTGGATTGCTGCAGTGATGGTTGACTTACTACAACTTTCTCCCATCTCCCGACTGCATCTCTGGAGCTCAGCCACAGTGACCTTTGGGTTCTTCTTTACCTCTCTCACCAAGGCTCTTCTCCCCCGATAGCTCAGTTTGGCCGGACGGCCAGCTCTAGGAAGGGTTCTGGTCGTCCCAAACGTCTTCCATTTGAGGATTATGGAGGCCGCTGTGCTCTTAGGAACCTTAAGTGCAGCAGAAATTTTTTTGTAACCTTGGCCAGATCTGTGCCTTGCCACAATTCTGTCTCTGAGCTCTTCAGGCAGTTCCTTTGACCTCATGATTCTCATTTGCTCTGACATGCACTGTGAGCTGTATGGTCTTATATAGACAGGTGTGTGGCTTTCCTAATCAAGTCCAATCAGTATAATCAAACACAGCTGGACTCAAATGAAGGTGTAGAACCATCTCAAGGATGATCAGAAGAAATAGACAGCACCTGAGTTAAATATGAGTTTCACGGCAAAGGGTCTGAATACTTATGACCATGTGATATTTCAGTTTTTCTTTTTTAATAAATTTGCAAAAATTTCTACATTTCTGTTTTTTTCTGTCAAGATGGGGTGCTGAGTGTACATTACTGAGAAATAAAATGAACTTTTTTGATTTTTGGAAAATGGCTGCAATGAAACAAAGAGTGAAAAATTTAAAGGGGTCTGAATACTTTCCGTACCCACTGTATATCTACATAACCGTAGGCACCCCCTTCTATGGAGGTCGCTGTATTTTGTCATCATGTTTCTACCGTAGCGGTCAACGAACAAACGGCGCTACAGAACGCGTTTTGTCATCACGGTGTTCTTCTTCTGCTTGTGTAATTCCGTGTAGTGTAGACGCCCGTCACTACATCGAATATGTACAAAGAAGAAGAAGAGGGACTAATAATAGTATTAATAGTAATATACAGTCTCCAAGTAGTCTTCTGGTTTATTAGAAGTAAGAACAGAAGTGACATCTGGACAACTGAAGGAGCACACACGTGTTATTTTAGAAGGAGAGCCGACAGCGGAGTCCGGACAGACAGCTGCAGCAATCACGGATTTTGTGGATTTTCACAGATGGAAGGCTATAACGTTAATGTGGGACAGATGTTTTCAAAGCGGTGCTGAAGTTGTCTGTTTTCTGCTGGACAGGTAATTACCTTTGTCAGACCTTAGCGATGCAAATGAAAACTGTTGTTTGATAGCTTTAGCTAGAAGCTGGCCATAATCACAGAGAGCTGTGACATGTTTCACGTCAGTGGTGTGAAATATGGATTAATTTCATGGCGCCTACTTATTCTCCAGCCTGTGGTTTGGCTTTGCCGGTTACTTAGCAGGACAATCAGCTGATCAGTAACATTAATTGGCAATAAAACCGTAACGTTAGCATAGAGCATGGAAGCATCAGCCAGCTAAACTTTTACTGACTGGTAGAAAAACATTTATTGTTAGTTGGATTGGTTTATTCTCCAGCGCTGTGCTTTCAGTTGTGATGTTATGTTATTAATTTCATGTAGTTACTCTCTCTCTCTCCAGCGCTCGGTTTTTGGCTTTGTATGTTACGTTCATGAGAATCAGCTGATCGCTAATTGGCAATAAAGCAGCAGCTTCCAGCATCAAAGCTCAGATCAGCCAGCTAAACTTTGAAAAAATATGTAGTTGGATTGTAATTTCATGTAGTTCTTCTCCAGCGCTCTGTTATGGCTTTGTCACGTTGACAGAAATGCGCCGTTACCTTCCTGAGACAAACAGCTGATGAATATTATTGGTAATGAAACGGTAACAGCAGGGAAGCTCAGATTAGCAGCTAAACTTTTTACTACCCTGGTGTAAATGTAAATGCTCCGTACTTGTATAGCGCCTTTCTAGTCTTTTCGACCACTCAAAGCGCTTTTACACTACATCTTCACCAGTCACACACATTCATACACTGAGCCTAAGTGTCAAACGGAAACTAACATTCACACTCATTCATACACTGGCGGAATAGCCGCCAGGGGCAAATCGGGGTTCAGTATCTTGCCCAAGGACACTTCGACACGCAACCAGGGGGAGCCAGGGATCGAACCGCCGACCTTCCGATTAACGGCCAACCCGCTCTACCTCCTGAGCCACAGCCGCCTCTAAAACAGGTGGAAAACATGTATTTCTTTTTACTGCTAATGGTGATATATAACAAGACCGTGTGCCTATCACGTGACCAATAATAAATACTTTCCGAATTTGCATTAAAAAATGTTACTGGATAGTGTCCCAGTGTGCACACAAATATGCAATTTGTACTTTCACATGCTAAATGCCCATTAAAATGTTGCACCATTTTACCACATGCTGAAATTATGGCTGTCAGTACTACTTTGTGTTTCTGTTGTATTTCAAAAAATTCAAATGACATTTTGGTAATATTTGCAGATTGCTTATCTAATTAAGCAAGAGGAGCCTTGATTCTTACCAGCCAATGCCTTTGTAAACTTTATGTATTATGTGGTTTATAATGGACTGTGGTGCAGAAACAGTGAGGCTTACATTGTCCTAGTAGCTGTCAGTGGTCGTTACTTGATGCACTAGATGTGATAGTGTTTGAGAATTTCTTCATTTACTTTGTTATGTTAGTCCAGATGAGCCAACCCTCCCAAGATGTAAAATAATGTATTACAGGAGTATGAGATATCATGTAGCACTTCATTTCTTCATGTGGCTGTTGTTTATTAATGAAAAAGTAACAATAATATTCAAAACAACATTTGGTTTCATATAATTTATATAATTTCTTAACACATCTATCTAAAGAAACCTAATTTCTCGAATGGCAATCTCTTTTATCTCATAGATGACATCTTTGTCCTGTCTCAGGCACCGCACTGTTTTGCATCATTTTCAAGATACAAGCTTTTAAATTACAAACTGTTGCCTGCATATAAAGGCGAGTGAGTGTTTCAATTTCCTCCTATGTATTTTTGCTGATTGAGAGAAATTAGAGCACAGAATAAATCTGTTTTTAGAAGAGATCAAGTTTGTGTGTTTGTTTGAAAGTTTTTATACTCTTGTGGAAGAAGTACTGACTTCAAGTACTGTAATAAAGCCTGCCTGCATGGCACTAATGTTGCAGGATATTTCCCCTGGGTAACAGACTTGGTGCTCAGCTGTGAAGCAGAGGCACTAGTGCGTAGTGGTAAATACATGGCATTCCTGGAATTTAAGCCCGACTTGCATAGGAAGATGTTTAAGCATATCACTCTTAGTTGAAATTACAATCTTACAGACATTACAACTAGCGCTGCCGTCATCTTTCCTCATGAAATGAAGTCACGCTGTGGAACTTTTTTCCTCTCCGCCATTACTCCTCCTTATTGCAAGTTTCCAGCAGCACAGACGCATGAGTTTGATATCATTGTTTTACAATGGGCAAAACATGCATCGATGAAAGGAATGATTTAGCTCAGAGGCATGTGATTCCTAAAGACGTGTTGTTAAGATTTGGCAGAAGCACAATCCCAGCTTTACCTGTCGAAGGCGGCGACCGTGCTGATGGCCAGCAGCATGTAGAGCAAAGACTGGGAGGGGTAAGCCAGGCTGTGGTACTGCTCCAGCAGGTTGGACAGAGCGGTGAGGTACTGCCCGGCTAACATGTACACCACCACCACGTTCCACACAGCGTAGCCCGCCAGGAAGCCATGACAATACAGACCAAACACTCTGCAACCAGATATAAAGGAGAGGAGAAGCATTTGGGGTGGGCTGCAGGTGGGGGTGTAATTTACAAGCACAAAGACACTTTTTCTTCACCTGAAGCCCTCATGTACTCTGATAGAAACATCTCTGGTGGTCCAGAGCAGCTGAATTTGCTGGAAGTCTGTCATGTTTTCCATCTGGTCGCTGGTCTTCCTCCAGTCTGATCGCTCAGCAGCCTGGAAACATTCTGCGTGTCAAAACACACACACACACACACACACACACACACACACACACACACACACACACTTTAGCCATTTAAAGAGGTGGTATTGTGCTTTTTGGCTTTTCCTCTCTCCATTATTGAGTTATATCTCTTTTGTGCATTTAACAGGTTTGCAAAGTGAAAAAGCCCAAAGCCCAGCCCAAAGGGAGTTCCCATCTCCCACAGAAAGCACTGCTCTGAACCGCTTGAAAACAGCTCATTTGTAGTCCAGCCCTTCACGTCCTTCACTTTTGACGTCACAATGAAAACGCGTCATAAAGCTTGCCAAGCGACTAGCGGGGTCAGGCACGCCCTCAAACCAAGGTAGTCTGAGCGGAAGCCCTTTGGCTCGACTAGCCTTTGTTTGGTTTTCCATTGTAGAAATGTTGTACCTGTACCTGCTTTCAGGTACTTTTTTTCGTATCACCTCACCTCCGTCGAGGTTCCAAGCGAGCTGAGGGATACTAAAATGTAACGTGAAGACACGACAGACTGCTGATTAGTCCGAGAGAATATTCACTATTCACTGCATCATCATTGCGTGCACCAGACAGAGGCCAGCAACAGAAAGTTTTATATTTTACGGTTTCGTATGGAATTTCATCACTAAATCCACTTCTGAGAAGTTTTGAGGTGAGAAATCAGCTGTGTAGATTTCGAATATTGACAGTTTTACGAGAAGTGATCGGAACAAAAATGTGCTTGAATATTTTCCACAAGCGGCTGCGGGAGGAGCCTGTGCCAGCCGCCCGCTCACAGAGCCCTCTGCTCCCGCCGTCACACAGACCGCTGCAGCAACAACGGCAGAGGAAAACACAGCTGGAAGGTTTTCATACCGTTTATCTGTCTTTACATTCTGAGGAATGTTGAAACGTTTTAACTTAAAAAAGACAAAGCTGTGTGGATCGCTGGTGTGTGTGTTGCATTGAACATTACGTCGCGGCAGTTGTGTGTGGCGTCGCTATGACGACAACCTACGTACTATCTCTGGGTACTATCTGCAATGGAAAACGGAGCAGGTCCGAGTAGGGTCGAGTCTATCGATTTGCGCTATGGTAGCTTTTTCCGGCAAGGCAACATAACGTTAGATCGTCACAACACCGGCAACAGTTCAACGTTTAGTCCTAAAAGACGATGCACGGCAATGTAACTTCACAGACTGTTCAAGTACATAGGTGTTGTAAACGTTGGCTAAAACAGCTAAAGTTATAACTATAATGCTAACGTTACACCCGAATGCAAACGTTCAAATTGTTCGGCCAATATTTATGTAAAATTGAGTTGAAATATGGTGATTTTTGTAGTGGTTTATGGTAAGATGTGGAACAATGATGTTGTGTGGTTGTGGACTTCTGAGTAACTTATACCATCTGCTAGGTTATGGTCGCAGTCTGAAGCAGCTTTGATTTGGATCACACTTCCTTGTTTCTTACGACCCGCCCTTCTCTGCTTCTGATTGGCTAGTAGTCCTTACCTGGGAACTGTGCATGTGCAACTCCCAACAAAGATTTTGTACAAGTAAGATGCATCACTCTGTAGCTCAAAAGCGGAGCGTACAACACATAGGGTGAAAAAAGGAGCTGCAGCAATGTGCAGTATGAGAAAAATGTGGTGTTTTTTGAAAATTAAACCACGTAAACCTGTTCTGGTACAACCCCTAATTAAGATTTTGAACCTGAAAATGAGCATAATACCACCTCTTGAACAGAATGGACCACATCTTTCAGTACTCACTGTTCCTCTCTACAAAGACCTTCCCCACCGGCTGGCTCTGACCCTGAGGAGCTGAAAAAAGGGAATGCTGGGGGATAGGAGGAGGGGTGTCAGTAATAATATCATCCTCTTCTACATCCAACTCATCGGGAAGCTGCGATTCCGCGACTTTTGACTTCCTGAAATAAGAATAAATGTTGTAGAGAAAAATGTACCATCTAGGATATATCTTGCTGTAACTTATTTCCATATTAACTCAACTGTTTGTTAAATTTTCTCATTTTGTAGTATTTGTTTTGGTTTGGTATCATTTTATTGTGTCATAAAACAAACTCTTTCCAACATGGCACTTTGACATGCAGAAAAAAAAACATTTGCAGACACATAATAAAAAGTAATAAAAAGTAAACTATCAATAACATAACTCAACCCAGGGTTTTATGCATACAATTAAAACACAACTATAATGTTCCAGGAACAGACATTTGCAGCACATATAGCTAATACCAGCTAATTTTTCTCCAATAATTGTTATTTTCTTTGTTTCTTACTTTCTCTTTTTTGGTTTTCTGACCACTTCTTGTCCGTCAGAGGTCTGATCTGCTGCATCTCCATTCACCAGGTTGGCTTGGTCATCTTCAAGATCTGAAACCACGAATGAACACATCTTTAAGATCTTCTTCTTCTGTCTTGCTTAAGGACATGTGAGCTGGCCATTGTGGGTGTTTATAGTTGAGCAGTAATCTTGCTACTTGCCATGTTTTTTAGAGTGAGACTGTTTACTTGTGAAGGTTGAAAAGCCTCCAAAATTTAGTTTGCATCATTTACATCCTAATGAAACTCCAACATTTCACGTTGAGAACGACAATGCAGAAATGCAGCATTTACAGGGAAACGTGTTGTTCTCAGTCTTTACCTATAGTGGCAGCTTTCTTTTTCTTCCTCCTTCTCTGTGGGGGGGCGTCCACTGTGGCTTCAAGGGTAAGTTGCTCGCCGATCTCAGATTTCCTCCGGCTGCCCAGGCCTCCCATTTCCATCCCCTGATCTAAACAGGAAACAGCAGAAGTTTTCTAAGTTACAAACCCATGTTATAATGTTCTTTTATGTTTTTTAAATTAGGAAAACAACCTTTCTTTCTTTGGACTCACTCAAGTCACAGATTTTATTTTTGTGGAAAACCATCAACAACACTGTGTGTGACGCAGTGCACACACCAGCACATACGCACACACCCAGCAGGCCGCTCAGGGAATTTCTATGGTGATGTTTGAAACCAAACTCACCAGTGCGTCCTGAGTGACAGTCTGTGCATCGGACGGGTCAATGGGTTAGAGGAGAGATTTGAACTGAGATAAGGATTCATTTATGGGTGGTTGAACTGTGGGGGTTTTGTATTGAGCACTGACTGTGGTAAACTTTGTGTTTCTTGTCGTCTGTCGATACCTTTGAAATACCAAGACATGCAAACAAGCATAAAAGGTTTTTGTTTAAATATATTGAACACTGAATAACATTATTTACATTGTCTATGAAGATTCTCAGTCATCCAGGTCATAGTTATCCAACGAAGGTTAAAGTCAAGGGCAGGAACCAGGAACACTAACGAACCAGCAGTATTGACGATCCTGGCAAACGACCCCACTGAGGATAAATAGCTGAGTTTCCCTGCCAGTCAGTCAGAAATGAAGAAGTCCTTTGGATGAGGGACGAAACGTCTTCCAGTATCTTCAACCAAGTCTAGTTGCCCTTGACTTTAACCTTCGTTGGATTATTTACATTAAATGATGCCTGAATGAGCCGAATGTTCTTCCTTCTTTAGCCCATACATTTCAAAAGTGGCTGATAATATTTCTGATTCCTGCTTGTGAGCTTTCATGTTGGGATGAACTAGCCCTTTAAATCCAGGTAAATAAAAAGTTTAAATTGTGGGTATGACAAACACAATCACTTTAGATGCTGCACAGATGCAGGTGTGTGTGTGTGTGTGTGTGTGCGCGCGCTTGTGTGTGAGTGTAATGTACCATCCATATCATCGACTTCATTCGTCTCTTTTCTCACCCTCTTCTTCTTATGTTTTGGTGCTGGTTCTTCTCCTGTGCAAGATGATAAATAATGAGAAGTTAAATCAATTAAAGTACAAATATGAGATGCTAAATATCCTCCTTTCTATATTTTAAATCCTGACTCACCAACTGTGTCTTCACTTCATGTTTCCACACATACCACAAAAGAGAGAAGAAAGGTTTGGTTTGACTGTTCAGCATTAAGACGACATTATATCACAGTAGCTAAGTAACACATTCACCTACCTCGGCATTGTGGGAAGTGCTCGTTGCGCTCGCTTAAGAGACAAAAAGAGAAGTCAGTTTTGTTCTTTCTGTTTGTATGTTCATTTTCACATCCATGACTCATAACATACAACCAGATTTATTTAACCAAAGTCTTAAACACAGTTTTATCCCTGTTTCACAGTTCCACCTGCCAAAGTCTGAAAAATATGAATGAAAACTGTGATATTTACATCACAGTTTTGTCTATACTCCCCAGCAGCATGTAACAATACATCCTAATAATACAATTAATTAATCATTAACCATAACCTGAAATCTGGATAAGCAGCAGACACTTGAAGAATGACTGAATGGATTAAGTAATTAGAAAGGTACAAAAGGTCAGAGGTCTGGAACCAAACTACCTGGGGGTTTTTATTAAAACACACACATACAAAAACATTTTCTATGTAAAATATTCAAGTCAAAATATCCTGTTGAAAACCCTTTGAAGCTTTTTTGAGGAAAATGAAATCAATGCTTTTTAAGGCTTTTCCAGAACTGTTTTTGCTCCGATCCTGTTATTAGGGCCCGAGCACGAACCGTGCGACGTCCCTAATGAAATTGAAGAGGGTGTGAGCCGGCCTAGTTGCACATTCTGGAGCTCTGCCGGTGCGGCTGTGAATTTGCTACGCGGTTCCGACGCCGCATGAAGGTGCTATATGTCACTTCCTGTGTCCCCTATGTGGAGCTACATAGCACTTGCCGCTATGAATATAAATCGGTATTGGCGTGTAGATGTCTTCGGGGTGGGACAGTCATCAAGCACGTAAAGTTTGCTTCAGATGTGAGCATGTACACTGAAGTTACAACAACTTCCTGTGTCATGGCGAAGACTTGATCTTTGACGCCACGCCACGGACACACCCATTGACGAAAACTCGCAAATAGCACAACTTTTCATCTTCAATGCCTTTAGAAGGCACAGCAGAAACTTGAGGTCGGTTGGACTAAATCCCTAAATTTTAGGGCATCGCTCCAAGAGACTTCTTTGTGCGTCTGGACAAGATACACGCACCACAGAAAATTCGTGTACGTAGGTGAAACGTGCGGCGGGGGCTGCTTCGTTAAAGGTCGCTTCCTGTTGCCAGCAGGTGGCGCTATGACTGTGGGTGAATGTCGGCATGTACATGTGTTCAGGGCGGGACTCTCATCCTACATGTACAGTTTGGTGCAGATGTGAGCATATACACTGAAGTTACGACAACTTCCTGTGTCATGGCGAAGAGTTGATCTTTGACGCCACGCCACGGACACGCCCATTGACGAAAACTCGCAAATAGCACAACTTTTCATCGTCAATGCCTTTAGAAGGCACAGCACAAATTTGAGGTCGGTCGGACTAAATCCCTAGGAGGAGTTCGTTAAAGTGCGAAGTGTGTAAATCATCCAAAATTTGACGTAAAATTCAAAATGGCCGACTTCCTGTTGGTTTTAGGGCATCGCTCCAAGAGGCTTTTTTGTGCGTCTGGACAAGATACACGTACCACAGAAAATTCGTGCACGTAGGTGAAACGTGCGGCGGGGGCTGCTTCGTTAAAAGTCACTTCCTGTTGCCAGCAGGTGGCGCTATGACTGTGGGTGAATGTCAGCATGTACATGTGTTCAGGGCGGGACTCTCATCCTACATGTACAGTTTGGTGCAGATGTGAGCATATACACTGAAGTTACAACAACTTCCTGTGTCATGGCGAAGACTTGATCTTTGACGCCACGCCACGGACACGCCCATTGACAAAAACTCGCAAATAGCACAACTTTTCATCGTCAATGCCTTTAGAAGGCACAGCAGAAATTTGATGTCGATCCGACTAAATCCCTAGGAGGAGTTCATTAAAGTACGAAGTGTGTAAATTATCCAAAAATGGACGTAAAATTCAAAATGGCCGACTTCCTGTTGACTTTAGGGTATGGGTTCTAGAGGCTTTTTTGTGCGTCTTGATATGATACATGTCCCCAGAAAATTTCGTGCATGTAGGTTGAACGTGAACGAGGGGCTAATTTCCTCGCACGGTCGTGCTCGGGCCCTAATTAAAGCTGCAAACAGCATTGGGCGGGCCCTCGCACTTGTAGCGCATCCAGGTGTGAGCCAGCCGCGTTGCATATTCTGGAGCTCTGCTGGTGCTGCTATGATTTTGCTACGCGGTTCTGACGCTGCATGAAGGTGTTATATGTCACTTCCTGTGTCCCCTATGTGGAGCTACACAGCACTTGCCGCTATGAATATAAATCGGTATTGGCGTGTAGATGTCAGGCGGGGTGGGAGAGTTATCAAGCACGTAAAGTTTGGTTCAGATGTGAGCATGGTTTGGTTCAGATGTCAGATGTCTTGATATGATACATGTCCCCAGAAAATTTCGTGCATGTAGGTTGAACGTGAACGAGGGGTTACATTTTTCCAATTTTTTAGGTGGCGCTAGCGAGTCATTTTGCCACGCCCATGCACGAAACCCATAAAATACGCAATTTTTTACCAGTTCTGACATGTGTCCAAAGTTTGGTGAGCTTTCGAGTATGTTTAGGCCCCCAAAATGGAGCTTACTTTGCAGAGAAAAAAAAAAAGAAAAAAAAATTATCTTTACAAATTCAATAGGGACCTCGCACGGTTCGCGCTCGGGCCCTAACTACAGTTCTGTGCAAAATCTTACAAGTTGACCTAATACACCTCTACTACCAACAACCATGCTGAGAACTACAACGAACCTGACGCCCAGCAGTTAGTAAAATTTGATTCAAAAGGTGTTTGGTTGCATTAAATTTAGTTTAACATATTAACAATGAGCTAAGAGAGGCAAAGGAAGAGTTTCTTTAAAGTCTCCTACAAACATTGTATGAGCTTTGTCAGAAAATTTCAGTTGCAGCATAAAGTCAGACAAGACAGCCAAGATAGGGAAGCTTACCGTCGTCTTTCTGGCCAATCCCACCCAAGAATCAGACAAGAGTGGAGTGAAGCTACACATCACATCTTGGCTGACACTGTTAAATCCTTGGCTAAATCTGTGTTCCTAAACGCGCCAGGACTTGGGATTACTCAGGGCAGAGGTCAGACGACTCAAACCTTTCTGATTATGTTTGTGGATGCTATGAATAAACAACTACCCTGTATACTGTGTCCCTGCACATACTTGGATTAATTGGGCTAATCACACCTGGAGTTCTCTGACTAACCTGTGGAAGAGGCGGGAGCTCCCTGGGTCGCATTTTCTATAATATAAAGGAACAAAGTTAGGTTGTTATCAATACGGTATTTATAAGTAAGTACAGCTCAGCTAACGTACTGAACCTTTCTGTAATGCAACTTAAGTTAACAGTACGTTATCAGTAGGTAGTCTGAAGCTACTAAGTTAGTCAACAGTTACTAACATTAGCGTTAGTATACATAAACTATACTGTTTATACTAAAAATAATAATTTTCGACAACACAACACTTAGCTTCTAATGCTAGCGCTATGACGTTAGCTAACGTTACTGTAAAGTCAACCACTAAACGTTACCGTTATTTTAGGAAAATAGTTACCTTTGAGCTTCCCATATCCATACTGTGACATTTCTCCCTAAACTGTGAACTTTGAATATTCATACACTTAAATCATCTTTAGTTGATTAGTATATTTTAACGTCTACAGCAGTTTAAAGTGAGTAAACAGCTACTTTGATTGTTTACGCTCTGCCAGCGGAGAGGTACTACCCGGATGTTTTTACGAGTAGCACACAAGACTTCCTGTATCTTCAAAATAAAAGCTTCTATACGATGTGACAAGCAAGGTCCAAGAAACAGGGGCCGTATTACAGAAACTTCCTATCTTAAGTCTTAAGTCAAGATAGGAAGAGTCAAAGATAGGATTTTTCTCAATTTGGTATTACAGAAGCAAATCCTAACTAACTTTAGGAACCCTATCTTATCTTACTCTATCCTATCTTATCTCAAGTAAGGACATCCTAAATACTCAATCCAACATCGATTATCAATTTTTATGTCTATACCTAGCAACCGATGCCACTTTTCTCATCTCGCCGAGCTAAACGGCTTTAATCGCTGTTTTTGGTAGTTTTTTTTTTAATGAAACATACCCTGAAAATGGAGCAGAAACAACAACCATCACTGAACTTCAGGTCAGATGACTTAGAGTTGTTGGTAACCTCCGTCAAGAAATCCAAATCCAAATCCAAATAGCTTAACTGGGGAGATTAAAAATTAAAAATAGAAAGTGGGCCATAGCGGACGCAGTCTCCGCCGCATATCTAGCACCCAGCGGAGCGCTGATGCTGTCAAAAAGAAAATAAGTCCATTTACAGTGATATGAAGACACAGGCCACTGTAGTGTCCAAAGAGCAGATGAAACTGCTGGTGGTTGCTCCTGTGTTCCCTCGCTGACCCCGGCAGAAACCCGTAGGCTACTCTCCTCGGGAAAGTTAATAATGACGGTAAGAAAAATAGGTTAATAATCATAATAAAGGCCGCGGGCTAACGTCATCATGTTTTTCATGTACGCCTATTTCTTGAATTTAACATCTCCTCCTATCAAAGACTTGCATTAGGATCCTTTTGTTACATCAAGCCTTTACATTATGTTACATAATTAAAGCTGCAAGCAGCGTTGGGCGGGCCCTCGCACTTGTAGCGCGTCCAGTGGTGAGCCGGCCGAGTTGCACATTCTGGAGCTCTGCCGGTGCGGCTGTGAATTTGCTACGCGGTTCCGACGCCGCATGAAGGTGCTATATGTCACTTCCTGTGTCCCCTATGTGGAGCTACATAGCACTTGCCGCTATGAATATAAATCGGTATTGGCGTGTAGATGTCTGCGGGGTGGGACAGTTATCAAGCACGTAAAGTTTGTTTCAGATGTGAGCATGTACACTGAACAATAATGTACCCAAACAATAAAATAAATTCCTTTTATATTTCCCTGCCTTGTTGTTTATGTGTAGATACAGAGGAAGAATGTGAGAACAGCACACATTTCATCGTTACTGTGTGTTAGAGCATGTGAGAACAGTGGATACTTTTAATACAGCCCACACCCCTAATACTGTGTAACTATAACAAGTAGAGAACAGAAGAAAAAGATGTTCTTTTTCTACAACTGTCTGCATAGCTTATTCATATTGTGTAATGAATGAAAATAAATAGGCCTACTAGGCTCCTCTCTACTTTGACATTTAAGATTAGCTTGTTTGATCCACCTTCATACACATGTGACATTACTGTACAACTTGAGAAAGGTGAGTTGTTTTTTTGGGATTAAATGGACTTTATTAGCTGCTGCAGTGCAGGATGAACTCAGAATAGACCCATTTCTCACCTTATTATTCTAAATCATGCAACGAAGAAGAAGAAATGCATAATAAATCCTGGGACAAAATCTGTCCACAGCATGTAGTCTGATGAACAAGACTTGTGTTATAGCTGACTTGGGCAGTGAAATGTTTAATTTTTTAAATTCATGTGGTCATAGTTGTCCACAACTCAAATCAGAATATAAGAAGAAATGTTTTATACCACCTCAAGAAGGCTTCCTATCAGAAAGGTAGGAAGGTATTTCAAATGTACAACTGCAGTACTTAAATCTAAGTAAAGGAATTTCCCTGACATTTTTGTGTTACTTTACTTTTAATAGACGCATGTGTAGTGAACAACAATTTGTGCATTTTACATGGAATAAATGTGGAGCTACCCTAAATTCCTTTCTCCTCCCCAGAGAAGATGGGGAGGGTCAAAGTTGCTTTCTCTAAGTGCTATCCCGACCATAAAACTGGCACCTTTTTGATTCCGAAGCTGATAACGCGGGGCCTGACTGTTAAACTGACAAAGGGACACGAGCCAGCCATTGGCATCTCCCTGAACAGCCTATCAAAACTGGCCCCCCACACACGTTTCCGTGGCAACTGACCTTATTCTTTGTTTTATTACCACATCAAAGGGATACTCCTTGTCTCACCTAAGTGTGACATTGTCCAGGACAGCTGAACTTTCAATGTAAAAGGACTGCAGTCTCCAAAAGACTCAAAGCATCTAATTAAATTTAATTAAATCTTTAGTTACCTGAATATGTTTGCCTCTATTTGAGTAGTTATGTTAACTGTTGTTGCTATCTGTTGTTGATATTAGTGCTGAAAAGAAGTTACTTGTGCAATGTTTTTATTTTCAGCAAGACACTCCTTCATCTAATGTAATCCAAGCTTTCCTCATGTAACCTGAGCTCCCCCAAGTGGACGAAATAAGTATTACATGCCCTCGTCGGAAATGCCGTTAAATGTATAAATATCCTGACCAATAATGTGACAATTGTTTCCTGTTACCAAATGCTTAGAACAGTACAACCATTCAACCATTGAGGTTCGATTGTGGAAAATATTTGATTATAATACGTGCAAATCGATTTCTTTTCTTTAGACATTAAGTTTAGAAAGGCAGTCCCTTGGGAAACCTGAGACGCCCCCTGGGGAACCACGCCCCAGACAACAAAAGAGCGACACGCGACCTCGCTCGCTCTCTCCTCTCTTCGCTTCGCTGTTGGCTCTCTTCCACTCTGTTCTGCTCTCTGGACGCTTCGGCACGCGCCGGCGTGCCGCGCCAGGCAACGCCCTCAGTCGACCAGCGAAACAAACAGGCCCTTTGTTCGCTTGAAGCTACACACGTGAAGTGCCGAGACATTGATCTGCCCTTCAGTTTGTTTTATTTCTTAATTTCTTTTGTTTGTTAAAGTTATGAGTCCGTTAAGTTACACTGGACTAATTCAGGAACGACCAAGTTCCATTTTAAGCCTTTTTCGTCGAGCCAACTTCACCGAGGTCAGACCAAGCCAAGTGGTCTCGCCAGCTACAACGAAGGAAACCTGAAAACAGTAGAATTGCCAGACGGAGGAGGCTTTTTCAATCAGACACGGACAACCCCGGAGAATCCCTAGCAAAAAGCCAGGATCGGGCAGCTAGCGTGGGACCCGTGCAACAGGCCAAAAGCAGGCTGTCGACAAGCAGTAAGACTTAACACACGTTCTGTGATCAGATGTCCATTTTAACTCCTAAAATCATAGCATTAGTTTACTTTCATTAGCTCTTCTATGCCGTATGAGTCAAATGCTTCCCACAATCGAACCTCCAGGCTCGTTGTTCAGCAAATGTTTATGTTCCCTGTATCCAACCATCTTTTTATCACCTTAGTTAGAGAATAAATTCACTGTAATATAATCAAGAGCTGTGTGTGTTGCCTATTTATAGTTCCTGCCAAGAGAATTGACCCTTTAGATATGAGACTGACTGACTGATTTAAGATAATTGAGCGATTATTAACTAACTGATCACTAGTAATAATTGTATAATTATTCAAAACTACCTAGAGGTCCGGAGACTCTAGGATTATAACAACTCCGGTGGTGCCCTTAACGAGGAAATTTTGATTTTAATTCATAATTGGGTATCAATTCTCATAAATTTATTAAAATGCATAACTAATAAATTTAGGTCTACTACACATGTAACAGGTTTTATACTTCCTGTCAGTATAATCCAATCAATCTTATTTTCATACTGTATATCCGTTGTGTAATTTGATAAATTGTGTTGTATGTCGTGCTCGCATCGCATCTCAGAGAAGACTCTGACTGCAACATGCGTCTTTGTAAAGAGAGAAACGGACAGAAAAAGTCTCTAACTCTGCCTGTCAGCTCGCTCTGCTCCGTTAAAACTGAATTTACCATACAGAATTGAATATGAGTGCACTCCAGATTTAGCTGCAGCCAGCTGACCGTGTGCTTCTCCCTATACCGCAGTTCTGTGTCCATGCATGCAGCAAACTGAAAGCACTGTCTGTCGGAGCGTCTACGTGAAAAGAGAAGGAAGACATTGCTGGTAGTATTGTCTTCAGAGTTGTTAAACACCTCAGCGCACTGAAGGAAGCCATCTGACTGTGTGAGGGGCAAGATCGTTGATGTCTGCAGGCAGAGTAGGAGCTCTCCTGTCTGACTGGTCCAACAATAGCAGAGAAGATGACCCCTTGAGACACAGCCCCTCCTCATTTGCATAATGAGGCAGAAATGCATACAAAAATTTAAAAAAGACAGGCAGAAATAAATACCATGGGTGAAAATAAATAAGGTAAATAAATACAAAGGAAGAATAAAACAGACAAAAATATTAAAACACACATAAATAAATACATTAA